AAAAAAAAAAAAAAAAAAAAAAAAAAGGAGAGAAGACGTATGTAACAACAAAGGATTAACTCACGCGATCTTGTAGCAAACGTTACAGATCCATTCGACTTCTTTGTTATCGGTGGGGCTCCTGACCTCGATACGGCACTGCCTACAAACTCTGTGCCTGCACCGCGTACACGGTGCACCGGTGTTGTAAAATCTACCAAACGGTGCACCGCATCTGGTGCATTTACGTCCTTGGTACGATAGTTCACCCGACGCCTTCAGAAGTCCCCTCCTCCGCAGATATTGCAGATCAGCCTTCAGTCTTCTGTAAAACAGTACAGTTTCCTTTGCACATTGCATCTCGGTTATACTATCGAATCGAATTGAGTTGGATGTTTCTTTTTTTTTTTTTAAGACATCTTAATTTTTAAAAGCTTGCAGAAAAATTAAATTATCGTATTAACGTAATCAAATTGGATTGTTATTGTCATTGTAAAAATTTCAAAAATTTTCGAATTTTTCGATTTCGAGATCATCTCACTCGATCATCCATGATAATTAGACCTATGGGTATTTCTCTACCGCGCTGTCGATCGGCGAGTCGATTGTCAGATTATTCATTGACCGGTTAAATCGAAGTTATGACTATGCGCTTGCCAAGGTGTCGCGATCGTCAATACTATAGTACTCGCGCAAACGAACGCACGTGATGCGTTCCTCAACGGAAATCAACGACGACACTTTCGAAATAAATGTTTTAGAATAAAATACTTGGAGAGTTTCGATATAATTATAAAAGTGTTGACAACTTTGCAGAATGGATAATTATGAATAAATTTTAATTTTAAATCGAGAGATTAATTTTTCATTGATGGATATCGAAATGAAAATAAAAATCTCGAGAATGTAATCCACTCGAGGATTTTTAATCTGAAAATTATTAAAAAAAAGGCGTGACATTCTTCGATCGTCGAAGGACATCCGCCTTCGCTAAATTTGACATTGGAGGGAACAATCGAAGCGGAAATGCATAAGGTAATCGACACGTTGGATGTAACGACAAATTGCATTGATGTTTTATTAATTGCAATTATTGTATAACACTTAACTATAAGGCAACTGAAATTCTTTGCCGGATTTATTGTTAGCCGAAAAGTTGTTGTGAAAATAGAGACGTCATACAATTGGTCATAAAGGTTATCTAATTGTAAGTATTGTACAGTATAGTATATATCTATATAGCATATAGTATATCTATATATATAGTATATATCTTTTCTCGGTATATTCTATTTTACCTTTTAATTATTCGGTATGATGAAATAAAATTACAAGTTATTCTTTTCCTCTGTCAATCTGATGATTTTAAACAAAATAAAGTATATCTGATATAGATATGGACACTTATGACCAATCGTAGATAGGATAGATTATAGAAATTTTTTTTTTATTTTTATTAATTTTCCTCTTAAATTGATTGTTAATAGAAATCATGCACAAAGATTAAATTTCTCAAAGTTTCATTGCTTAAAATCTTACTTTTTTTCAATTTTTACACACTGCAACCATTCTTGAGTAAGAATTTCTAATAAAATTAAGATACAATTCTTACACATTAGGCTTAAATAAAATTAAATTTTTTAATCAAATACACAAATTTTCTTCAATTCACCAAAAATAAAAGATAAAACGATTAATTTTACTTTTTCCATAAAAATTAAAAAACTCATGTATAATTTTCCTCAAATTCTTAGAGATAATTGGAAGAAACTACACATAAATATTCTTTTTCAATTAACTTCGCTTTTTCACTCGATTCACCAAAAAAAAAAAATCATACAATTTTTTTCAAATTTTCAGATATTCCGATTAAATCCACTTTTTCCATACACCAAAAAAATTTCCAAATTCTAAAAAATATTCACGAAAGATTATGTTTCAACGAATCCACTTTCTCTCTTAAATTTCATTTGCTGACAACTTGACTGTCTTATCCACTCAAGTTACCGAAGAATAATCAAGAACATTCAAATGACGATATATCGAAACGATATTGAGACGAGTAAAACGAAAGTTTCCCCGAGATTCGGCTCGATGACAGTGACTCATGTCCAATCGTGCAGTTGACGTATCTAGTCCCTTTTGTTATAAAAAAAGAATGGACACAGCGCGCAGAGGAAAGATTGCTACATCTTTCTCGGTTGGTGCCAATGTTGCGTTAGTATAGCCTCGTAGGTGTAGCCTGCCGGGGTATATATCTGGTTTCCATTCCCGTCAAGGCACAATGATAAAGCATATTAACGCAACACACTGTACGGTGCAATGGACACGACCGAATAACAATGAACGATATTTCCTTTGGCTTTTAGATATCCTGATCGGATACCTTTCTCCTATCTCTCTTTCTCTCTCACTTCCTATTCGAATATCGTGGCTGGACGCCGTGGTGTAGGAACATGGAACGTAAATAAACGGTAGCTGGATTTAAAACGTTTTTATCATGCGTGAAAAAAGTAGATTTTTGTTTACTTTGTGAGGTGGAAGGTATGTTTTGTGAGAAATAGAAAAAAATGAAGATGTTTGCGAATAAATGATGAAAAATAAAGATGTAAAATATTTCTACTGTGACAATTTTTTATTCAAGAAGATAACACTATCTTCTAATAAAATATGATATATTTAAAGTTTAATTATAATAAAGATATTGATTTAATACTTTTCATAAATAATATAAGAAATATATATTTAATTTTTAAGATAATTATATTATAATTTATAAGATATTTCGTCAATGAAGATAAATAAATGTACTTTTAAAGAATATATAAATGTAAACTAAGATGCAGATTATATATCAGATGAAAGGAATACAAAACAAAAGTAGCTTCCTTTCAGTTCCTTTCATTGGTTTTTTTCAATTATATGTATACCGTTAGCCTACATACCTTTAACCTCTATCCATAGAGAACACAGTTCCCGAAGCAAACATTTATCTTTATATCATTAGAAAGTAAATGTTTATATCTTATTAATTTATAACATTACATAATTCTAATAGTACTTCATTTAATGTTGTGATAAATTGAACAATCATTTTAACTATTAATTATTTATCCATAAAATGAATAACATGTAATGAATAATTATGCGAAAATTTATAAATTTTTAAATTTGTCGTAGAATAAGAGGATTTCGATCAGGTAGTCGATACCTGGTCGAAATACCTGGTCAACTAAAGATGAGAGACGAATGATAACAATAGAAGCAAACTTATAAAGTATTATTCTCGTACCAATCTCACACAACAGCCTTAAAGGCTATAAAAATTATGCAGATTTATGTGTCAATTTTAAAATCTTCGACAATCACAAGAAACAATTAAAAATATTTTATCAATTCAAAAAGTTTATTATGGTTCTTAGAATGCAAAAATTTAAAAAAAGAAATCAAATTAGAATACTGTAGAATATTAATTACAGAAAATTTATTCAACTAAAATTTATTAAAATACTATTATTTTTAGCATTAATTTTGAATTAACAATAAAAAAAAAAATTAGCAGAAAATTTAACTTAATTGTACAAAATTCCAAACTTTTTCATCTCAGTGTACATCTTTTTGTCTAAACAAAATAGAGACAAAATTGTAGAAATAAAAATAACAATTCAAAAAAAGAAAAAAAAAATAGAAGAAAGAGCATCAATTTGAAGAAGATACATGATTACAATTACAACAGTATGAAAGACATCCTGAATTTGCATACAAAATTGGAGAGTTTCGATAGAGTGATATCCTAACTAAGGATTAACGTCTTTCACAGAGAACTTGGAAATAGATGAAGCTGGTTGAACAGCTTTATCTTTGAGGAGAGATTGCTCGAAGATAAAGTTGCAGTTTCTATATCCTGTCTTCTCAAGAAGTAATTAGTCCTTTATACCATTACGTGACCGGAATTTATCGATTTCTTGCTTGATGATTCTATTGAAGTTAAATATAAATGTAATAATAATAATAATCATTTATCAATTAAATTATTAAACAAATCTTTATTAAAATTTCTCAATAAAATATATTTATTTATATTTTATTAATATAAGATGGATAATATAATTGAATATTTTAGCAAATTAAAATTAATAAATGACGAGTCATCAATGATATATATAGAATGTTCATAATTCTGAATAGTCTTTTGTTTTACGCTTAGATGACGAATCAGACAAATGTTAATATATCCGCAAATGAGGAATTCATAAATGTTTGAAATATCGTATATATAATCAAATCAATTAAATATATCTTTTATAATCACAAAATATTTGAGACACAATCAATTAGACATCCATTCATTGAAAAGGAACTTATAAACAGTTATAAACTTTCATTAGATCTAGGTAAATTTTATTTAAAATTGAAATAAAATATAATTTATTCATCATTTTTAATAATATTATTTAAAAATATAAATAATATCAAATTATTTAAAATAGTATCCAATAATAAATTAATTTTTGTAATTTATTTATTTCAAATTTGTCCAAAGAAATAATTCTTAAAATAATTCAAATAAAAAATCTTTAATTTATATTTATATATATAAATATAAATAATAATATAGATATTTTTTAAACATATGCATAATATATTTTAATTCTGCATATATATATATAAAAAGAAAATAGAATTTTTCATAATATAATTTATAAAATTAATTAAATCAGAAAACAGTTTTTATTTATATATTCATTATTATGTAGTTACCAATATATATTATTAAATCAAATAGCTTGTTTCTCTTGAGAATTGAAAACTTATGGAATGAAATTATTTTCAATAATTCAAATTATTTCAAATGTTATTGTTTAATAAATATATTCAGTATATTCATATAATATGCTATTCTTAATTTCTATTATAACTGTTATTATAATTATTTTTTTTTTTGTCAAATTTGAAATAAAGAAATAATGAAACAATATATTATTATTTCAAATATTTTTTATTTCAATTTCAAATTAATCCAAATTTTTATCAAACACAATATATCATATTATTAACTTACTTACAACGCTAATGAAGTAACTTCTTTTCAATATAACCAACACTAAAATGCACATAAACCACTGAATAGCACAAGATCTTTTAAATCGTCTCACTGAACCATATTAACCAAAATTAAAACAAACTCAATAGATTGGACAACAGCAAGTTTCGTTCTCTCCCCAAAGTAACACGGTTTTCACTTCTCCATTGTATCAAAAACATTGGAAGGAACCTTGCTTCTACACCTACGCATCCCTCTAGTTCCTCCGAGATCCGATCTTCGGGTCGAAGACACGATCCTGCTACGACCGCATCCGGTCAAGCGAAACACAGCCGCTAGACTGTAGATCGAGAGCCACCGATGCTCGTTCGCACAATAAAACGAGGCAACCGCGGTGCAAGCTGGTGTCACTTTCCGCGACCATTACCGACCGATATTAAGGGCACACTGACGTATCGAAGGAGCGCGTCACGTAGTATTCGGTCTTTGGATCGTGTTCTATTCAGTTCTATTTTATTACAGAAGAATTATGGGTGGAAGGATTACAAATGATAGATCAACTATATTTAGTGTCTAGTAAAGAAGATCGTAAGAACAGTAATAGTAAATGGGGAACGTAGTACGCTCAAGTACGTATAGTTACTTACCTGGACCGCGCAGCCGCTTTAGGTCTTGAACCGAACAGAGAAGCAACCGGTGAAGCGACCAATCGGCGCTCTTTATCGCTGACGCAGCGTGCAAGTGACATGGTGTAGGTGTGCGTGTGCAGATATACCGTAGTTCAAGGTGGAAAATTATTCGAACAGTTAAAAATGTTATATAAATAGCAAATTTCAATTAAACTTCTATCTTTTTTAATAAATTTTCGACATTAAATTGAAGAGAGAAAATGTTAAATTTTGATTAGAGATAAGTAAAAACTTAATTCAAACTTAACCTAACCTATCTTTTTCGTAAATTTTAGATTTTAAATCAATCAAAGGAAGAAAATATTAGATTTTTGATTGTTTAGAATTTGATCTAATTTCTTTATTAAATTTTAGGAATTGAAAAACTAACTTTTCAATCTGTAAAACTCGAATCCGAAATTTCATTTTTCGAAACACAAAATTTATTCCATTTTCTTTCTCTTTCTAACAAAATTTCAAACATTTGTCTGAGTTACTGCATCTATTATCTAATATCAGTATTATATCAATTATGTTTAATTCTTTGTAACTTTTGCCGCACTTTTTCTTCATAGCTATCGTAGCTTTCCGGTATACTTCGTTTTACTTCGGTTCGATTGTCAGTCCCTTCGGTACAATTCAGTTTAGCTGTTAGTCCCTTCGGTATATTTCGTTTTGCTTCGGTTCACTTCGGTTGATCGCATTTACCTCATACTACAGTGGAGGCGTAACTGAACGTACATTAGACAGTAATGTTCCATCTGTGCGATGTCAACGATTGCTACAGACCGTGACATAGTGATTCAGAAACTCGGGAAAGATTCGTTTTTTCAGTATGTGTGTGGAAAAAGATTTAATGCATGAGATAAATATGATATTAGTGTCTTTATTTCTCATAATTCAATGTTCGTACCTATTATCTCTGATAGAGATCATTTTAGATTCGACTTGCGATTTTCTTCATTTTACATAAGGTTTTTGATATTGATTGTACGTTTGTATGTAAGGTGATTGATTACAATCGATTTATGTTTTTGACACAGGCGTTCTGATAGGAGATAAGAATGATTTATATGCGCAATATATATGCGCTGTTAACGTTCGTGTAATTATTTTAACGACGAGCATGTGAGTGTTTAGACATACGGTCTAGTCGGTTATTTCCTTATGCGTTTTTCATTTTTTAAAATATAATAAACGCGATTATTCTTCCTTTGCTAATTTTATTCTATTATTTCATTTTATTTATTTTAGGTATTATATCATTTCTAAATAATATTTAAATTTTATTTTGCGTTTTTAAATGATATTTTTGTTTTCTATTTTTAAATAATATTATTATCGAATAACGATGTTTGTCATAATATGATGTCTATCGTGGAAAAAAATTTTTGATTAATAATTGTCAGATATTCGTTTACGAGATATTCGAACACATACTTTCTAATATTTAATATTTAATATTTTCTATAATGGAATATTAATGGATAAAATAAATTAAAATTTCGAATCAAGTTAGGATAATGATTGGTGAAAGTATGTACATACTGCAACGTCTTAAAATATTAATCATACACTATTGACAAAAATTTCGCGAAAAATCTTATACGTATTTTATCTTTTCTGTTTTGTACTTTGAATTGAATTCATATTTAATGATTCACTAGCAATAAAATTACATTAAACATAAATGTTTCATAACTTTGTTCCTTCATTTCCTTGTCGCGTTCATAGTGAATCACATCATCGGTAAATTTTCCACAATCTGTTTTATGCAAAACCATTGCTTGTGATTTAATTATAGAGCATAAACATAAATGTAATCCTATATCACTAAAGATCAAAATAACGACACTGCAATTCGCAAAACAATAACTTTTTAAAATGATTTTAAAAAATTTTAAAAATATTATACAATTTCTATTTTGTAAAATATTTATTTTCAATGAATTTTTTTTTATTGTAATTTTACAATACAATATTTTCAATGAATTCTTTTCCTTTTTTAATCTTCTATGCAGCATTCTTTCTGAAAAATTCTTAGCAAATTTTATTACTATAATTTTACAACATTTTTTTTATTCGAAAAGTTTATTATTTAACGGTTCTCTCCTTTAAGATCTGAAGTAAAATATTGCTTGATTTCACGCATAGAATTAATGTTCATGTGCTGTCAAGTATCCATAGATTTATATACAATGACATAGCTTTGCATCTCACCAATTATTCCAAGTAATACATCAATTTAATATTATTCCTATATATGATCATTATAAAACAATATTAATCACGCCAATTAAAAAGTAACTTCGTTAACATGTGTAACGATGTCAATTCAGTCTAATCGGTGATCGAGATCACGTAATTGTATATCCGCTCCTATTTATATCTGGATAATTTATATCGAGGGGCGTAAAATTGTGACTTTTCCAATTTTTCTCCATTTTTATAATTGAATAAATAAAAATATAATCAATAAATATACACCAAAAATAATCTTTTTTTCTTTTATAATTATACATTGCAATTGGTTAATTATTATATTTATTTATTACATATAAAGAGGGATTTGATTGACGTATCACAATATTTTTTTGAATATGTAGATTGTTGAATATGTTAGTTTCCATTAAAAAGTTGATGAAATCGCCTATCTTATCTTTCAAGAACAAAATTGTCTTTCTGGATTGAGCCTACATGTTTTTTCTTTTATCTATGAAACCGTACTTCATATACTGCGTAATATATTTGAGAGTAAAACTCTCGAGAATTATCAAACGTATTTGTATCTTTAATGCACAATATAATATAATAAATTAGAAATAGAATTGACAACTCTCGATAATTTTAAAAAAAGTATCCTTTTAACCTAACTTTTAACCTAATCTGAGAAATTAATCTAACACAAATTTAACAGTTACTCGAAAATATGCAAATGGATATAACGGAAAAGAGTTAACGACTTCAAGGAAACTAATCATCATTTTCACCAAGGTTAGTGTTCACGATATAAAATCTTGTATCATTACAAAATACTTGTATCATTATAAGAACTCCTTATCACTAATGAAACGGTAAAAGTTCGTGTATTATCGACAAATATCTCAGACGATAGGTCAGACTATTTGGCATGCAAACACACTGGGATACTAATGGCAATGATTCTCGTTTAGGTAAAGTTCTATTGCACAAGCAAACCTCTAATCATGGCAATACCATTTACAGATACCACCAGGAAGAGTGGACCTCCATCCATTCCCCATAAATGGCGCACCTTCTCGAGGAAACGAGTATCCAGTTAACCGTTCTGGCATTACGAACTTGTTACGTAGAGTTTTATAAATGCGAATCATCTTTGTTATCTAAG